GAGGCATTGCCGGGATTTTAGTGGGACGGAAGGCAGACGTAACATTAGCCGGCGAGCCATTTTGGCAAGATTTCACTCCGCTTACTAAAGTCACCGAATGCTAGGTCTGTCAGCTCCAATGTGTAAATTTTGAGAACCGTTTCCAGTAGATTTTCACCAGAGTCTTACTGGGCTTAGAATCTGGTATCCATTTTGAAAGAATTATTCCAATTTCCGGATGTTGTTGGTTGGTTCAGCCGCTCCTGACCTGGAGGCAGAAGTTGCCCAGTGAGCCGCTCAATCTGAGTCTGACGCTCCCGGGATTTTTCTTTGTTTGATACGTAGTTTTGGGCGGTGTCGGTTCGCCCTATCACAGAGCTAACCTTTATATCTGGAGGCCGTTCAACTATCCGCCACCTGCTGACCGCCACAGTAGCCCAAGCTAGCCCTGTGGCCCGATAAGACCTGCGTTAAGTAGAAATCTATCTCCCCGTGTTGTTTGTCAATTCGGTCGGTGCATTCTTAATAAATGGGCATATATAGTATGTCCATCTTCCTTTGTCTGCCACATTCCATTGCTTTTGCCACTCCTCGAGGCTTGTCTTCCTCTCCTGTTTGCGCTCGTCGGCTTTTGTTTGCACATAACCTGAACACAGATTTGGCCATATTGACACAGGTTTGTTGATGAAGGGCTGTCCCCATATCGGAGCTGCGTACATAAGCATTGATTGGCTAACTTTAGCTAGTAGATCTCTCCTAGTTTGACTTGGCCCACCAATGTTTGCCACGATTCTCGACAGGACCGCAGTCAATTTAGCTGCCTTACCACATGCCTTTTCAATGTGCACCTTTAAATAGAGCCTCGTATCGATCATAACGCCAAGGTACCTCAGAGAATTTTGCGTTACAACGTTATACCCATCAATGATCAAAGTGACCGTTTCTAGCCTTTTTCTGCTCGTGATCAGCACTGCCTCTGTTTTTTCACCGGCAAGCTGCAGGTTAGTACTCGTAAACCAGTCTTTAATTTTCGACGCGGTCTCATTGCATATGTTTTGTATCTGGAAAAGCTCATTAGTAACGATTGTTACGGCAATGTCGTCCACATATCCAATTATCTGTTTTTATTTTGGCAGCGGTAATCGTAACACCCCGTCATACAGCACATTCCATAATAATGGGAATAGTACGGAGTCTTGCGGTACTCCACCTGTCACCATGTAGGTTTTTGGACCTGTCTCGGTATCATATAGCAGTATTCTGTCAGACAAATAGCTGCTAATTGTCCTCAGAAGATACCCCGGGGTGTTTCTTGAATCTAATGTCCTCAGTATATGTGGCCAGTATGCAGAGTGGAAAGCATTTTTCACGTCAAACGTAGCCACTGACACAGCGCAGTATTTTTTAAATCCATGCATCCATCTGGTGCCCTCTATGGCCTTGGCCGCCATGCCCGTCACTTTTCCAACTGCGTTTAATGTCGAGTCTTCTGAATCCAACCCAATTTAGATAAACCAGGAAACTCTTCTTCTAGGTGTCGTTCTAGACGTGAGAATATCAGTCTTTCCAGTATTTTGGCCATAGTGTCGATCATGCAGAGTGGGCGATACGCACTGGGCTCTCCCGATAATTTTTTTGGCTTTTGAAGAAGAACCAGGCGCTGTTTTTGCAAATTTTCGGGAAAACACCTTCTTTTGAACATCGTGAGTAGAGTTCAGCGAAAACCCCCTTGCTATGGTTGGTGGCAATTTTCAGCGCCTTGTTCGGGATGCCATCAAGTCCTGGCGCCTTTGCGTTGCCAAATCTCTCCGCTACTTCCATTACCTCCTTCTCGTCGACAATTCAAGATTTCACTACCGTTGGAATCCTTCTACTCGATTGGGGTTCCTGCGTTGGGAAAAGCGTTTTCCCCACCTCATCAAGGAGGGTCCGCCAGGTTGGTGCTTGACTCTGATTTTTACCATCACTTTTTTATACGCGTCACCCCACGGATTCTCATCCACCTTTTCACATAGTTCTTTAAAACTTAAGGACTTGCTTCTTCATTCGCTTTCTCGAGTTCCTTACGTTTTTTTTTTTAACTTTCCCGCAGTCTTGTAGGGTGTGGCGTCCCTTGGCTTCTTTGGCGGAGGCGTCTCGCTTTATGGCATTCGCT